CCACTCCGCTCTGGTGCACAAAAATAATAACCAAAACATTGGCTGACTTCTTCCTAGTAGGGGACTGGAGGTTATTGGTAGCCAAGGTGGCACTGCTGTCGAAAGAACCCTACCTGTACTACCTCGACAGCCCACGGCTGCAAGATGGTCGCCCCTAAGAAACCTCAGAGCGAAATCAACAACGGAAACAAGTCCAACAATATGTCCTACAATAAGAGGGATTCGGCCATGGGTGGTAAGGCTGACGGCAAGGGCCAAAACGGCATGCCTATTTTTTTAACCCTGACCACTGCAAAAAATATAAGGCTAATTGTACCGCAGGCGCTCGATCTGGGTTCAGAACCGATACCGCTATTTCCAACAACAGACCCGGCACCGAGCGAACCCTCCAGCCATGGGTCCCCGACTCCAATGATGGCATCGATGGCAGCTTGGAGAAGCCATCTGGCAGTGGAGGAGCTTGGGACCAATTTGCCGAGAATGAGCGGCTCTTCGGCCTTAAGACCGACTACGATGAGAACATCTACACAACAACCATTGACAAAAGCCACCCGCAGTACCGTGATCGCATGGCTGCTGCCGAGCGCAAGGCTCGCGAGATCGAGCGAAGCTTGGCCACCACGGCGCACGTTGCGGAGGAGCGCGTCATGGATTATGTCACTGGCGGTGGTGACGACAAGGGCGGGGATGAGGAAGACAAGTAAGGCTCTCTACTTGATGTCTTCATCTTGAAGCAGCCAAAGTTAACACCCATTTTCAGATACAGCGGAGTCCGCCGTCAGGACTTCCCTCCTCTGTCGAGCCGCGAAAACAAGTACACGCCTCCTGCCAAGCGAGCACCCGCTTCGAATGCGACTGTCGTTGGCGCCCCGATTGACCCCGCGATCATCTCGTCGCAACTGAGAGCCCCCGCAAAGAAGCAGACCACAGTGAAGCCCGAAGATGCCAAGCTTTTGAGCCAGCTCGTCAACAAGGGCAGTGCTACCCAAGGTGCTGAGGCGCCGAAAGCCGCTGATCCCAAGCCTGCTGCCCCCGCTACAAAGACTGCCCCGAAGCAGGAGCCGACCAAGCCGGCTGAGACGAAGCCTGCAGAGACGAAGCCTGCAGAAACGAAGCAGACCGTCGCCGCAAAGCCCGGCGACGCCAAGGCTGCTGAGAAGTCGGCTACCCAAGCTCGTCCCTCTGCAGCTACAAGCCGAACGATCTCTCCTCAGGTCAAAGAAGGCACTCCAGGAGCTCCCAGTGCTACTGCGACGGTCGAAGAAGACGTCTTGAAGTCGTTCAGAACGTTTGCCAGCCAGCAGCGGCAGAATGCTGAAAAAGTTCGGAGCAGCAAGGCTAAGGCCGACAAGGAAGTCAAGTTGACTGAACTGAAGAAATTCGCCGATACCTTCAAGCTGTCGACTCCAGTTCCTACTGACCTGATTTCCATTATCGCCAAGGACCCCGATAAACAGAAGGAAATCCAGGCAAAGGCTCTCCAGAACGCGGAAGATGTTGCTCGTACCAAGACGACACCTACTCTGAAGGGCAAGGACGCTTCATCAAAGGAGGGTGCAGCAAAGCCGCCTGCTGATGCCCCGGCTGCTCAAGCCGCCGTTGAGACAAGGAATGCTACTCGTCCGGCGCCAGCTAATACTATTTCTCCCTCCAATGTGCCGAACCGTCATCCCAACGCTCGCCAGTCTTACGCCAGCCCCCAGTATCACGCCCAATCGTACAGGAACGATAGATCTGGCCAACACATGGCGCAACAGAACCGCCAGCCCTTGGCTCAGCGCCTGCGCCACGTGGAGCAGCAGAAGATGTCGGCGCCTCCCAACCAGCACCCTGGTGGCCCTGACATGCGGATGCCGCCAACCGGCCCAGCGAACAACACTGAGGCTTTCCGGCGTGCAGGCGGTGTCCCGAGTCACCTTGGCGGGAAGTTAAACCCCAACAGCCATGAGTTCAGACCGAACCCCTTTGCGACGTCCTTCAACCCGAACGGACACCCCAGCGCGGGTTCGAGTCCTCGCTCTGCTGCTGCCAACAACGCCCCAGAGACAGCTTCGACCCCGTCATCAGCTGGACAGTTGATTCGTCGGAAGACGAAGGCAGTTGATGTGAAGAAGTGTTACATCTTGGCACACGTCAAGACATTCACGCCGCCTCAGGGTCGGAACTGGGACGACAACGACGGTCTGAGACCCTCATACGACACCCCGCCTACCTGGAGACAACCTTCGGACAACGAGAAGTCGGATTCCACGATGCTCATGACTTCCAAGGAGTTCTTGGAGCGGCAGTCATTTGCTGTGTCGTCAATTGCCACACCGAACCATACTCACGTTGTGCCCAGCGTGGCTCACCAGCATCAACTTCCCTTTCATCTGCAGCAACCTGCGCACGGTATGGGCCCGCGTCAGTCACCACACATGCCACCCATGCCAATACAAAATCAACATGGACATGTACCCCATACACCGTACCAGAATATGGATGACCATCGGATGATGCACTCCAACTCGGCCCAGTCCTTCGCTTCGCCGCGTATGGCACAGGTCCCCATCACTTACAACACGCCAGCGATGACCTCGGCGGGTCAGGTGCCCTACAACCAGCCTATGATGCAGCCCTACGGTGGACCGGCTACACCTCAGATGGGTGGTTACCGGAACTTCTCCCAAAACCATCAATACGTGCCGCAGCAGCCTGGCGGCCCCATGGGAGCACCTATGATGCCTCAATTCATCAACCCCCAGGGCATGGTGCCGGCACCCGGCCAAATGCCAATGTATGCTGGCAACCACCAGTTCATGCCTCCGAATGGCGCGCCGCCTCAGCCGATTCCGGGAGCCAACGGCTATCCTAGTCCAGGACGCCCGTCAGCGCCGATGATGGTTCATCAAGGCTCGCAGCAAGGTCAACCGGTATATGGCATGAGCCCCAACGTGCAGTACCAGCAGCCTGCGTACACTCCGCAGCAACCCGGCGGTCAGGGTAAGATGGTACCCGGCGGTCGCTATCAATAAACTGCTAACACGTCGGCTTAGTTGGCAATGTGCGTGGGTACAATAGTCCCGGACCTCAACACTTTGGAACGAGTCCCTCTCAGATGCATCAATACGGTGCACAGCACCGCAGTGGAAGCAACAATTATGGAGGCAAGCCGTACAACAACCATGGGCAGCACCAGGGTCCTCAACAGGTTCCCTCAGCACCTGCGAACGGTCCTGGACACGCTCCTGGAGCTACCGAAGAAGCCAAATGAGAGCTCGACGAAACCACCGAGGCATACCGATAACGCCATGGAGAATTATCCCAACACATCTCAGTATCTAGGCCCCTTTAGCGTTGATGAATAACCACTTGATCCGCGAAGCTTGGGATGGATGCTGCCAACTTGGATGTGCCAGCAAATACATAAAGCAGTCCATGGAAACCTCTGGAGCGGCTGTCGGGGAGATATCTCCGAGGGGGCTAGCATTCGGGGGAAGTCAGTCACCGAGCTGGAGGACAGGGTCGGACTTGCTGTATGTAGTGCGTTTGCTGGACTGGAAAGTCACGTATAGGTCAGCTTGTGGTTGGAGAAGACAGTCCAAAGGGTTCAGATGACGCAGGGGTCTACTGCGATGATGCCTGAAGGAGCGGGACTGTCATGCCTCACAAGCGGATCACGGCAGAGGATCAAGGGGGATGTGAGGACGTCAGTCATGATCCAAACGCACATGTGAAGGCCGGGTGTGTCGCGGTAGCTAGGTAGAGCTAGTGACGAGAAAGAAAAGCATAGGAGTTGAACAGTGTAGGCCAAAAAGCCATCTATCAATAGGTGGCTCCAAATGACAAAACATTACTTCAAAAGGTCAAAGTGAATTGCACCCGATTGGACAAGATGAGTTCTGGGGGGTTCTCTGGCAGTCAATCATGCCCGTCTTTGCAGTGTTGTGTAATGCTTTTGGATCAAGGACAAACAAAGCAGAGATGCACGAGTGGCCATGAGAAAAGGGAGAAGAAGACCAGAAAACCCTAGTGTTGTTGGAATATCTCGGGGACGGCATATTCGGCACCATGACACAACTACTTTAGCAGGTAAGAAGAGCATGGAATTGGAACATGATTATGTGAGGTCGGGATGAAACCTTGATCATGGGTAACAGGGCTAGCAGTTCACGTTTGTTCCTAGATTCTGAAAGACTATTATTCCTGGACAGCCCGGGGAGAGATGGAGAATGAAATGACGTGAGAAGGGTCTAGTCATACTTGGCTGGGCTATTTTATTGATGATGGGGGGGATTGAATATAGTCGTGAGGTTGAGGGTGGATAATTAAAGAGTTTGAGGTATCATCGTGGGGGGATTTTTAGAAAGGGTGACAACCTACGGCGCCTCTTGATGCAGTGCAGGATCCATTGTTAGAACTTAGCATGTGCGGGAGGTATGCATTTTCGACTGGCGGCTGTATGAGAATTGAGGTACCTAAGGTACCTCAGGGAATGGCAGGAAACATTCCATTCTCATTTGTGGCGGTTGTAGGATGCATGCCATTTGACGGCGCATGTCGCATGTTTCAAGAAACCCCTGCTTTCTTCTTTTATCCACCCTCATTTGGCCCTTTGCCCGATCGAGCATGGGGTAGTTTGGACGTTTGAAAAGTTTCTACTTTTTCGTCTTCTCCAAGTCTGCCAAGTCACGTCACAGTCGGTTCCCGGGGATGGCTGAGGAGGCGCTGAGGGCGGGGGAGGCACGGGAGGCACACCGCGCATCACCGAACACTGGCTGGAATGAAGCCGTGTGGACCTGGGCGGCCTGGGCCTTTCTTTGGGGATCGACGACTTTGCTTTCCGTGGGCGGTTTTTGCGCTCCACAGATATCACCGGACACCGGTGAAGGTGAGGTTACGACTGTAACTGGGGCACTTTTGCGCGGTTCGACATTGAAGGACCACAAGAACTACCCACCTGTGTTGATTATCTCGGGCTCAAGTTGCCGAAAGACGTCTTATTCCTATTCTCTCATGGCTCACCTTGGGATGTATCTTGTCTTGTAGTGTTTGTCCTTGAGCTGTAAGGCAAGGCAAGCTGGCAAGGCGGTAGCCCGCCTACCTAGGTAGGTGATTGTAAACGGACAGCGCCAATCAGTGAGCCGAGCACTGAAGCGACAGTCAGGCACGCAGGCTGGTTGATTGGACGCGGTCTGGATGGTTTCCCCCTCCAGGTTCAAATATGCTAGCATGGTAGTATGATGGTAGGTACTTCGCGAACATGGAAGCAGCTCAGAGGCACAGCGGCTCAGCCAAGGTTCGATTTGCGGCCCTTGCGCTTCACATCTTTACCGCGCAGCTACAGCTACCGCTGTGGCCTGCCATTCGCGCATCCGTCCCTGGGCCAATGACATGCCTGGATCAGCACTTTGTCTCTTTTTGGACGGTCCAGGGTCTGTTCATCCCACCTTTTTTGGACCACGTCCCACACACCTCTCTCGCTCACTCTCTCTGTCCACAGTCTCGGCCACTTCATCCGCGCATCAGAGACAAGACAAACGCGCTTCTTGTCGCTCAAGAGTGGCTCCGCGGTGAGGAGGAGGGCCAACTTACAGGTACCCTTCGCCGACATACCCGCATCGCACCGAGAACATGCGATGAGGTGCGGTGTGACTTGGTACCCTACCCTTGCCATGCCTCGATCTGTTCGGCCAAATGGGAGGGAGTGACTCTGAAGTTGTAACGCTTTCCGCGAGACCAGACCGGGGGGTTCGTGAGGGACCCGCAAGGCGGCAGCAGGCGGGTTGAGCAAGGGTGCAAGGGGCACAGGACAGGAATCCAGCTGCTGCTCCTTTGGGGCGCGCAACTCGGGGATTTCTTCTTTATCGAGTTTTTCTTCAGGATGGAGCCGTTGTTGGACAGGAAGGAAGGGGACGGACGGAGGAGCCGAGAGTTGCGCCAGGACCTTGGGTCATTGCGAGGAAGAATCCAGAGGGAGACGAAAAGGGAGGATATCAACCACACGCCGTCCATGCTGGACCTACACTACGTTGAAGGGATATCTCAAGGGCTCCCCTTCGGTTTCTGCTTTCCACTAGTATCCGAGTTGCAGGTTGGCATATCCAACACTTCCTAAGTAGCTATACTCGTTGGCTGGAGGCATCCAACATGGGCATCCGAGGTATCTCGATGTAGACCTGCTGGATGACGATGAAGAAAAGATGGGTGCATGCGCCCAGGGCAGGGGTTGACTTGCGGCGCGAGAGAGGCACACCCCGCGACCGCTAGCCAGGCCGCATGGCTACCTCACTTTCATGGATCAGGATCCAGGTTCTGGACTGCAACTGGACGAGAAGTCAGAGAGTGAGAGAGCAGGCCTTTCGACCCTGGCAAGCATTGGAAGCGAAGCGGCTCTCCCCCTCTTGTTCGCACCCTTTCCTTTGCCAAGATACTGATGCGCCGGCGGAGTGGTGTGGTTTGTTCGACAATAAAGAGCCCGTGACGGCCTCCCGCCTTTCTTCAGCCCTCTTATTTCATCTTCACCTGACTTCATTCGTAGCAGCTCGATCCGAGTTCTTGGGAACCTTCTTTTTTCCCCTTTCTCACGTCTATCTCTACAAATTTCTCTTTTCTGTTGCTCAACCTCGTCCAGCGTTGTTGCGTCATCCACGCTCTTGACTGCTACAAGACTCAGCCCAACTTGGCCTACTTTCGTCCCCATTTACACGTGGAGAACTCGTAGCCTCATTGCCGTTCCTTCCTTTCCTGCCACTTCTAAATCTTCAACGGTTACGTATTCGCCGGTATTATTCAACTCCCGACCAGCCTCATTGTTTGGACGTTTGAACACATTCCTTCGACCGCCTTTCTCCATTGTAAAAGTCACCCGACTTTTTTTTTCTTCTCTTTCCTCGAGCCGGCTCGACTCTCCAGACCACATTCAGATAAAGACAAGTGAAGACACCCCGTCTCACTCACCTTGATTTGACCGACTCACCTCACCTACTTTCACCTACAACAATTCTTCAGCCATCCCGACCTAAGAAATCAACAGACCAACACACATTTCAAAACGAGGAGCAAATACACTCTTTGACCCTACAGAAGATCCCATCCATCCTTCTTCCAGTCAACACAACCAAGCTTTTGTCAACAACATCTGGAAGCGAAGCTCACCTAAAAAAGACCTTCTCATCCTCTCAAAACCACCATCATCCTAGACCGAATCTCTTCCAACACCAGACGACACCATGAAGTCCACCTTCGTCTCCGCGATCGTGCTGCTTGCCGGCCACGCCGCGGCTCATATGGCCATCACCTACCCGCCGCCCCTGCGATCCAAGCAGAACCCCTTCGCCGGTCAGGACATCGACTACAGTATCACCAGCCCTCTGAGCGCTTCTGGCAGCGACTTTCCCTGCAAGGGCACCTTGAACCTTCTCGGCACCGCTGCGGCCTCTCCCGTTGCTACTTGGCAGGCCGGCCAGCAGTACAACATGACCATCGCCGGCGGTGCCAACCACAACGGCGGTAGTTGCCAGGCTTCCCTCTCCTTCGATAGCGGCAAGACCTTCACCGTCATCCACAGCTACATCGGCAACTGCCCTGTCGCAGGCACTTCGTCTCTCACCTTCACCTTGCCTGCCGACACCCCTTCTGCCAAGGACGCCCTGTTCGCCTGGACTTGGTTCAACAACGTCGGCAACCGAGAGTTGTATGTCCATCTTGACCTTCTGATTCTCACCGTGGCCATGCTAATTCCCCTTCCACAGCTACATGAACTGCGCCGTCATCACCACCACTGGCGGAGGTGGCAGTGCTTCCACTCCCTTCGCCAGCCGTCCTCAGATCTTCAAGGCCAACATCGCCAACGGCTGCAGCACCGTCGAGGGATCCGACGTTCTGTTCCCCAATCCCGGCCCTCCTGGAGACGTCACCAACGCCGGCACCAAGACCGCTGCCCCCGTCGGCACCTGCGACGTCGCAGTCGGTGGTGGTAGCTCTGGAGGTGGTAGCAGCAGCTCTCCTAGCAGCTCTGCCAACGCTGTCGCTCCTGCCCCGTCCGCTCCGGCCGCTTCTCAAGTCTCTCAGCCGAGCTCCCAGTCGACTACTCGCGCTGCCGGAGGTGCCTCTTCATCTGCTGGACTGTAAGTAAATCTCACCCATGTCACTGTAATTGTACTGACTCCTATTAGCCCTGGCGGTGTCTTCCTCACTGTTCCGGCCTCTAGCAACTCTGCCGTTGCCTCTGCCCGACCGACCACACTTGCGACCGTCAGCATTCCCGCTTCACCCAGCGAAGAGTGCACCGAAGGATCTGCGGCACCCACCGCCGTGCCTGCTCCCACTTCGGCAGTCGTTCCCTCAGCCGCCCCCTCGGCTGCCCCCTCTGCCGCTCCATCGGCAGCTCCCTCGCCTGGCGCCGGATCTGGTGATGCAGCAGACGGCTCCATGACTCCCGGCAAGGCCTGCACCCCCGAGGGCCAGTGGAACTGCGTCTCCGGCACTCATTTCCAGCGTTGTGCCTCTGGACAGTGGTCGGTGCTCATGAGTATGGCTCCTGGCACCAAATGCCAGTCTGGCACAACCGAGGTCCTGGTCTGGCAGAAGAAGAGAGCCCACGGTCGCCGCTCCCTCCGCGCTAGACACCACATCTAAGCCTCGCGGGCCTCTTGTGTAACAACTTTTCTGCCCTTCGGAATGTATTGTCGAAAGGTTCACGACATTTTATGAGACTTGGACGAGATACGGGGACACGCATCCATAGACATGGGGAACAAACTCTGGCTTTCTGAGATTTTGGCGTTTTGAGGATAGCATGGATCTTCCAGGACTGGTTCTTGGCTCGCATAAGGAAAAGCCTGGCAGGTAAGTATGCCAGGTAGGCTTGATAGTAAATCACCACGATCGTTGTAAAACATGGCTCTCTTGTGTAACCTGTCGACGATGCAGTGCCAGTTAACGTGTACCTGGAGTGACTGTGGTTAAAGCCAAAAGGACGACTGTGACTGGCTTGTCGTCTGGTGAGGTCAAACGTATGACACCTGCCGGCCCGTCAAGAACTGGTAAGACAGCGCCAGCTGGCGACCGACAGCCACTTCAGGCAGCATACGCTCTTGTGGCTGGAGCTTCGAACCTCGAGCCTTCAACCCCAGGTGAAAGACATTGAACAATTCTCATTCCACACGACCACATTAATTCCGCATTGGAGCGATAAGTTCTTACCGTTGCAGAATTATTGAATCGTACGCGACAATCTACTGTCGATCTGGCTGGTGGGCCGCCCCTGACGTATCGGGTCTCATCCCTGCGAAGACCCAGGCCAGTTCATTCGAGGCAAGAAGGCAGTTCACATTGAGGTGGCTTGGCAGGGTGGTGACGAAGTGAAGGTCTCAACGTTATGCTTCGCAGCAGCTTCTAAGCACATTATATAAAACTGAAGATGGCGATACCGTCAGGTCGTACGGCCTTCAAGAAGAAGGATGGTGTCTTGACCTTGACGCCGGATCAACAGTCCGTCATCTGGACTCCAGCACCTGGGAATGGCCCGCCTACGGTCTCCCTGGTCATTGCTAATATCTCAAGTGAGCTTCCGTCACACGAGACAGTACTATGCATGACTGACTTGGGCCACAGATTTGCAACAGACACCAGACAGCGCAGCAAAGGTTATGCTCAAAATCTTTGAGAAGCCTCCAGATGCAACAGAACAAGTGCCCTACCTCTTCCACTTCACATCACCAGAAGCCAGGTCTGAGGCCAACGCCATCAAGGACCTGCTCTCGAGGCTGTTGGCCGATATCCGCTCCGGCGATCCCAATGTCCCCAAACCCTCCGGCAACTCAACCCCGAACGCGGCCAACGGCGCAAATGGTGCCAACGGTGGTGGCGGCGGCGCTGGCGGCGGCTCGTCCATGGCGTTCGCCAGCTCCGCCAACGCGAAGCCCAACAGCGCTCGCTGGTTCGACGACGCCCAGCTCAAGGGTGACATTGAGCTGCAGCAGTCCCTTATGAAGAAGGACCGCACTCTACACCAGACGTACATGGACGCGCGCGCGACCAAGCCCGAATCGATATCGGACGCGGCCTTTAACGCCCAGTTCTGGTCGACGCGCACAAACTTGCTGCGTGCCCACGCCATCGAGGTGAACCAGCAAAAGGGCGCGTACAATGTCCTCCCCGCGATAAAGCCGCGGCTGGAGAACGACGTGCTCAAGCTCGACATCACCGTCGAGATGGTCCAGCTCATCATGGCGCAGCACCCGCTCGTCAAGCGGCTCTACGACGAAAACGTGCCCAAGGTCCCCGAGAGCGAGTTCTGGTCCCGCTTCTTCCTCAGCAAGCTCTTCCGCACGCTGAAGGGAGATAGGATCACGGACGAGAGAAAGGAGGGCATCAAGCGCGACGCGCTGTTTGACGCCCACGATGCCAGCGAGAACACGACAATGTTCCAGCGCAAGAGCATGGCGCAGAGCGTGCCGCACATCATTGACGTCCACGGCAACGAGGAGAACCAGGGCGGCTTCCGGAGCGGAAACCAAAAGGATGTCGAGATGCGCCCGCGCAAAAATGTGCCTATTGTAAATACCCTCAACAGTCTCAGCGAGCGTATGCTCGCCAACGTGGCCCCCTCGGACCGCGATACCGGCGCCGAGGCCGAAGAAGACTCGACGTGGGCGGAGATTGCCCTCCGCGACCTGCGCGGCGACGCAAAGGAGAACAAAATCATACTCAACATCAAGGAGCAGAACCGCTTCTTTGCGAAAAAGGACGAGGCCAAATCCGCAAACGCACTCGCTTTCGCCAAGCAGAACCCCTCGGACGTCCTCTTTGACATCCAGACCGACCTCGAGACCATTGAGACGGACGGCGCGGGCGGCCTCAACCTCCGCGCGGGCATCGGCATCGTCGACGACAGCGACAGTGACGATGGAGGATCGCGGCGCCCGCCCCACGTCGGCTCACGCGCCGCGCGCAAAGCCGCAGGCGACGACATCATGAAGGGCATCCGGCAGCGCCGCGCGCAAAAGTACGGCGACACGGCGGCGGACGAGTCCCGCCCCATGGGCCTGCCCGTCGAGGTCGCGGAGCGGTGCCAGCTGACGCACGCCACGACGGTCGAGTTCCTGCACCAGTTCTGGAACGCGTTTCTGTCGGGCGACCCGGACCGCGCCAACGAGCTGCAGTACCTCGTCGAGTCCCTCAAGCGCTCGGCCGAGCGTATCCACGCCGTCGCCGATGAGGCGGAGAAGACGCGCGACGACATCATCCGGGCCAAGAAGAAGGAGATCATGGATCACTACAAGGCGACGGGGAAGAAGATTCGCGGGTGGCGGCCTGAGCATGAAAAAGGTGGCAGGAAGGCCGTGCTGGCGATTATGCAGCCGACGCTCGAGGCGCTGAAGAGGGCGCAGGGGGATTATCAGCGGGCTCTTGCTGCTGAGGGGGTTCAGCTTTCCACCGAGGCCTGAAGATTGCACTTGAGGTGAGAAAAGTCTGGGACGGAGAGAGAATCGGGGTCGGGTTGTATAAGAGACATCAAAATGCGAAACCATCAGGAGCTTTATTCAGGAATAAGCAAACCACATCGAGCCATACACGCTTCTTACTAAATGTTCATTGGGCACAAAAGTCGTGTCGAATCACACCTTATGCTGTCTCGTAAATCGCGAAGAAGGGCCAACTCAGCTAATTTTTTTTATCAAAACCCCATCTCATGAGGGTGGTAATTCATAGCCCATCTCTCGCTAGTCCCTTATTTTTTACTCGGCAAGTCTTTGGGATGCTACCTGACTACCTGATCGTAGATGGCGTGTGTCCTCTCAATGATAATACATAATTCACCACTCACTTCCTTTCCCCCCTTTCTATAGCCCACGATGGGGATGTCCTCAAAGGAAACTCTTTCCCACCACACAACAAAAATCGTACAAATTCGCCTGAAAGACCACCCCCGTCCCATCCATTTCTCTGATGATGGTTCCAAGTCAAGGGTGGGAGATTTGCCTTCAGCGAAGCCAGAATGACATTACAAAGAAGACGAACAGAGAATAACAGTCAAAACCCGAACCCAGCGTTCTTCAAGCAACAGCCTGCCGCACCCTGGCCTCCTCAGCATCCGTCGATGTCGGCAGCACACCGAAGCCCATACCCTTCCTCTTCTGGCTATTCTTGGCCCGGACATCGCCGTACTTCTCGTCGAAGCGACGGATGCTCTTCAAGCTGTCCATGTCCTCGCTGACGCTGGCGGCGATCATTTTGAGCGCTTTATCAAAATGATGTTTCGCAAGCGTGCGTTTGGGAGGGAACACGTAGGGTTCCGGGCCGGTGTGCCGCGCCGCCACCTCGCTCTCCTCCTGGACGGCCGTCATGGCGGCCGCGACGCAGAGGTTCTTGAGGTCAGAGCCGGAGTAGAGCACCGTCTTCCGCGCGACGTCGTCGACGTCGACCGAGGCGTCGAGCGTCTCGCCCTTGAGGAGGATGCGGAGGATAGAGGCGCGGTCGGCCCTGAGGGGCAGGTCGACGAGGATCTTGCGCGGCAGCCGGCGGAGCACGGCGTCGTCGAGGTCAAAGGGCCGGTTGGTGGCGACCATGATGAAGGCTTTGGTGTCGCTCATGCCGTCCCACTCGCGCAGGAACTGGTTGATGGTCTCGCGGTGCGCGGCGCGATTCCGCTGCCCGCGGGCGGCGAGTAGGGCGTCGGCCTCGTCGATGAAGATGACGAGCGGGCTCAGCTTCTTGGCGAGCGAGAAGAGGGCGCGCACGTTCTTCTCGCTCTGGCCGACGTACATGTCGTTGATGCTGGCGCCGCTGACCTCGAGCATGTTGGCGCCGCTCTCCTTGGCAACGGCCTTGGCTAGCAGCGTCTTGCCGGTGCCGGGCGGGCCGTAGAGGAGGCAGCCCGGTATCCTGTCGGTGGCGAGGACGCCGTATGTGAAGGCTTCAGGGCGGACGAGCGACAGCGAGGTCAGGAGCTTGAGGTTGTTCTTGGTCTCCGCGTCGGCGTGGACGTCGGCAAACGTCGTCTTGATCTCGCTGCTGTTGACGAGACCGCTGAGGAGCTTCTTCTCGTAGTCGTTGTAGTTGCCGGACACGCGGAGGCGTTCGGGTTCGGGCTTCTGCATGTCGGCAGACGAGCTCGCGCCGGCAGAGGAGGGTTTGGAGCGCGTCGGCCGGTCCTGGGTGCGGTGCAGCTGCGCGGTGCTGTAGCTGCTGGACTCGACGACGTCGAAGAGAACCCTCCATGACTCGTCGGGGCGGACGGTGCCCTCGCAGGCGTAGAAGAGGCGGGTTATGTGGTATACGTCGGAAAGGGGGAGGATGGAGGTTGCCAGAACGCGGGGGATGAGCGAGACCTCCATATAAGAGCCGTGTGTGTCATCCAAGAGGAACTGCGGCGGCGAGGACTTTGACACGCCGACGATGCGCAGTTTACTCGTGTCTCGCGTTTGGCCAGAAATGCTCTTCAGCATATGCTGGATGTTTCGCAGGTTCTCTTGCAAGAAGTCATTGGCCTCGTAAATCTTCTTGATGTTTGCAGCGTCGGTGATCCGCTGGAAGTTCAGGGGCAAAGGGATCAAACACTCCTCTGCCGCGATCTCCTTGAGCGTCGATGCGTACTGCTCCGAAGGGTTCTCGTTGGATGAGGTGCCCACCAG